CTGCACTGGCGCAGAGGGAGACGAGCAGCACACTCCAGGACAGGTAGATGGGCCAATTCTCCGAGTTCCAGCCGAGGAACTTCTCCGTGTAGAAGAGCCGCAGGTATAGCCAATCCTTAATCGTATCGTGTCGGCGCCAGTCCTCTACCTGCTGAACGCTGCGCATAGTATGCTCATACCAATTGCGCTGGGCCACCACGTCGTCCTCCAGCATGATGATCCACGGCGCGTCGGTCATGTCGTAGCATGCCTGTAGCCCGAGCCGGTAGTCGATCAGAGACTTCTTCTTTATGTTATTCTTCTTCTCCAAGTTCATAATAATATACCCGGGTGCGTCGACATCGTCGTAGGTGAGTACGTGGTCAACGACATTCGATAACCATGTCTGATTGTAATCCGGGTGATCGGAGGGTTTGCTCAGGGCGAAGAGCACTTGGACGGTCAGCGCCGCTCGCTGCTCGGGTGAGAGGGTATCAAGAATCGAAGCAACGGTTGTGTCGAGGTCCTGCTGCAGGGGACGCTTCACGGTAACGATGCCGACACAGGCGGTCTTCTCCCGTGGCGGGCTGACATGGGAGACGGGACGGGGCGGGACATTGTCGGAACGATTGAAGACAGACAGCCACTCCAGCGATTCGTGAATCCGTTGGAGACTGTATCCCGGGCGATAGCCTTCGGTGGGCTGGAAGAAGAATGAGCCTGGGTCACGGGCGGACCGGAAGTGGCAGATGATGATAAGGAAGAAAAAAAGGATGGCGTAAGAGGACAGAAGCAGCCTCTGCTTTCTGTTGAAGTGATTGAAAGCCATCGGTCACATACTGGTTGGCAGAACGATCAGGAGGGAAAGGAGGAGAGAGAGGATGGAGGGGAGAGAGGGAAGGAAAGGAAAAGAGGGAAAAAGGAAAACAAAAAGGCAGGACCGGATTGCGACAGCAGATAAGCCAGCAGCGGACTAGCAAGAGTTAGCTTGGAGCCATGTTGATGAGACTTGCTGCTTTTGAAGCCCTGGGCCCTCAGGGTCTGCCCATCGCTTAGTTTGCTCTAGTCATTTGCTGGCCAGCTGATAGTCCGGCCGCTCTTTCGTTTATCGGGCCAGTGGAGCGGTGGTCAAAACCCTTCGAGTTGACCCACGCCCGAGTAGCCAAGTTTTGGGATCGCGTTGGCCCATTGGCCGATCACGCGGTGGGCGCCAGGGCTGAGCGCATGCTGTGTAAGGCATTATCCGAGTAGGGATTCGATAATAGGTGCAGGGTTGGGAATAGCGTCAACAGCCATTGTGGGTTTTCCGAAGGTCAATTGGCGGAGAGAGAGAGGGAGAGACAGAATGACGATAAGAATAGCTCGGATTGCTTGCTTGGTTAAGTTACTTTGCTTCACTTGCTTGATTGTCTTGGAGCAAAAGTGAGAGGGAAATTCCATCCCGCGCGGGCTAAAAAAAGCCTGCCCAGAAAAAGCTTAGCCCCAAACGGTGTCCGCCGCCAGAAGAAGAAGAAGAAGAAGATGAGCATTGAGCAGACAAGAACATTGTAGAAAGAACCATCAAAGTGGTGGAAATAATTGACAGTTTCCCTTGCATACTCCGAGCAGTCTCATCATGACACAATCAACAGGGCAGTGCCGATGAAACAATTGATTTAGTGTGATGGCGAAGTGGTTTTAGCACCACTACATTGTCTCAATTATCTTGGTTTTGGATGGAGTCGGTTCTCGTATTGAACCCACTTCAGTGCTGTGCATCCATCACTATCCTGCACTCTCAATTCTCGAGTCCATCCTGCAGACTCGATCACACTAACATTCTCGACCTGTCAAGTTCGTTAAGTAATCAGCTCAGGTCCAAGCTAGGAGGTCAGTGTGACAGCCGGTCACATGATTATACTTGATAGGGAATGTAAGCTTATAAGTGCTGTGCGTTCTGAGTCGGTTGAACTCAGAATTTTAGTCTTTTACCGGATAGTCTAGTCGTACCTATACTCTTATACTAATGCGGATTGTTGGATGTAATCATATAAATTGGACATCTCGCAACTAAATACGTCTCATTTTCCAAGCCCTTTCCGGCTCAACGGAATACTGGTCTTTCCCCACAAGACGATCGGCCTCGTCAAGGTACTTGAAAAACGAGGCGGCGTCCTTTCTGAAGACCTCGCTGCCCAGCCAGTCCCAGTCGCCGATAACGTACTGGGCATTACGTGCCCGGGACAGCATCACGTTGGTCCGCTTCGTCGAGTGGAGGAAGCCGGGGGCGCCATGATTACGTGTAATCAAGACGATGATAACATCAGCCTCCGACCCCTGGGACGCATCCACGGTTTGAATCCTGGGGCGGGGCCGAAGCTCAGAGAATCTCTGGTCCCAAAGCTGGTTCACCAGGGCGACTTGGGCTCTGTAGGGGGACATAATGAGAATGCTCCCGGTACGTCTGTCCAGAAGCTGTTGGGCCAGGCAGATCCCAAGCTCAGCTTCCTGCCCGTGGTACAGGGATCCCGAGGGATCCTTGCGCGTATCCCCTTCACTATGGGGGAGATGGAGGAAATGGGAGAGCCCGCGCAGAGTCCATGTCTTATTCCCCAGGCGGACTGTCAACGGATTCGCCGAGGTGATTTGCATGTCTCTACTCGGCTGACTCCGGAAGGTATCAACCTTGCCCTCGTAGTAGGCCACCGAGGTAGGCTCATAAAGGTCCTTATACGACCTGTAAGAGATATTGAGAAGGGTTTGAGGGTACCCTTTATCAATCAGACGCTCGAAAGCCGATTTTGACCAGGCTGCTTTCCCGGCTGCCGTAAAAACAGGGGGTGATAATTGCTTGTGATCACCCACTAGAAGGACACGGACATCTGCTCTCAGCTGTCCAAGGACATGGAAGAGATCCGGATCGCGGAAAAAGCTGGCTTCGTCAAATATGACGAATTGCGGGTTAAATTTGCGCCGGATCATCTCCTTGACATTGAAAGGCAAGGTGACCACGACTTGGACGTCTTCCATAACGCGGCCGATGAGTTCGCGTCGCTGTCCGTTGTATATGCGGAGCTGTTCTTTGGACATGTCTAACCGGCCAGACTCCCGGAGGTTTTCGATTCCTTTCAGGAATTGCTGGTATTGACGAGGTTGTTCATTGGCAAGATTGATGATCTTGTCAATATCGTCGTAATATCCGTGGACATCGGCGAAAAGTCGAGCTTCTGTATCTGCTCTGCTTCGAAGTCGAATCAACTTCTTGTCGCTATATTTGAATCTGTTAAATGCGCCGTTCAACTGACTCATTACTGCAGCACCTGCTGCGTGAGTCGGCACTAGGATGGCCAACCTGGCCAATCCCACCGACCCACCGCAGAGGAGTTGCCTAACGAACATAGTCACTGCAGCAATTGTTCGCGTTTTGCCCGTACCAGGAGGGCCGACCACAAGAGATAACGAGTGGGTAAACAACTGGATAGTTGCCTCGGTTTGGGCGCTACTGAGCCTCCAGTCATTTGGCACAAGGGATTTGAGATCCCGGGGAGCCGATTTCAATGGATCATGGGTATTCACCCGAGGAGCATTCGGAAGGAAGATAGAGGTTAACGAAATTTTTGGACCATTGTCAGAGGAGATGGCCACTTCCTGCTTTGTACAATCCCGGCAAGCGTCGTCAAAGCTCTCATCGCCCCAGTATTCTGCCAGTGCTCTGATAGCTTTTTGCATTTCGAGCTGAAGCATGTGGTTGGCCACAATATGAACGCCCACGTCATCTTCATCAACTTGCTTGGCAGTCCTAACGTCCACGTTGTTAAGAAGGACTGCATGCATAGGAGCGTCGATCAAGGCGGTCCACTTGGCCGACTTCTCTGTCACCGAGGCCATGAAGTCTTCCGGGAGCCCCGTCTGGCCAGGAATACTATAGTTCTTAGCCTTTTCCTGAGCAAACCATTCTTTGCCCCGAAGAACCAAGTTGCATCCTCTATAGATACGAAAAGGCCGGTCTTCCTTCGGCCAGATCCCTAAGAGGATTCGATTTCCAACCGCAACACCTTTTACTCGGCAGCCGAGAGTAGCAAGACACTTATGTTCCGCGTCGGCTTCGTTGTCGATAGCTTTTTTATTGGAGCTGATGTATTTCTGCTCCTCATCGGAAAGCGCGATTTTTCCCCCCATGAAGACTTCGTGGAACAGCTTGGTATTGTTATCCCACATCTTCCGACTGCTAGGGAATTCCAAGGTGAGTTGGACCACCTTGTCAAGCAAGTTGGCCCTCGCAAGCGGATATGTAGACGGCTTCGGGAGGGTATCTGCATTTGTTGTTTGGGGACTACCATCAGGCTTGACAGTCGTCTTGAAGGTATAAACTATCTCGACATGATTTATGTCGAGCGAAACAGCCTGTATCTGCTCAAGGGAGAGGTTGACGATCCAGAAGGATTCTTTTTTCTCTCTTCCGTCGCCGACGCACACACCCTGGCGGAGCCTCAAGATTGTTCGATAGAGAAGCAAATGAATTGAGGGATCGGTGGCAATCTCTTCGGCCATCGAACCATCTTGTTCCGGGTCATTGTACTTGATAGACTTCACTGGAAACTTGACGTTCGCGCTTGGCTTGGAGAATAGGGGTTGCGCTTGTCCTTTGGTTTCCGAAGGTCCTGACATGTTTGTCTGTACAGCCACACAAGGACCAACAGTTGCTGGATCTTCTTATGCAGATGAGAGAGAGGCCAAGGGGCGACACAAGAAGCAGGCGCTGTGGATGGTGGTGGTGGTGATGATGATGATGATGATGATGGTGGTGGTGGTGGTGGAGGAGGTGGTGGTAATGAGAGAGAGAGAAAACGATAAAAGAGGTAGAAGGGTATAACATTCAAGACCAAAACAAAGAGAACAAAAGAAAAATACCAGGAAATCAAAACCTGTTACGACAGTCTTTTAAAAAAAGGTCAATAATAAAAAAGATGTCAAATTCACATTATGATCTATCCCCGGGCTTTGCTCTGATAGTAACATCTGACTACGGAGTTTCTATATTCTCAATCACGAACGTCTACCAACGCTCGAATGAGAGTATTCGCGTTTCTTGGGTGGTTATTTCGCCATCTTGATCCGGTCACGCCTTTGGTTGGGCCCTGGACCATATGGGTTTGTCGAGAGACTTGGATATAGACGTCCTCCATATTAGGACTACTTCCATATTCGTGGACCCACACGCGCACAAGGGGATCGCGGCCCGGGGACCCAACGCCACCAAAGCTACAGTACTGAGGCTAAGCACGGTGTTCTTTGATATTGAACTCGACGAATGAAGTGATCATGGAGTATAAGAATGATGATATTGCCTATCATGGGCTCAATACATTAAGTTGTTAGCGAGACAAGCATGGCGCCGATGATCCGTCTAATGAATATTAGCGTCCCGGAATTCAAAAGCAGGGAAACTTCTGCGTCCGCCGGCTCCGTCTGCTCCTCTTGATCCTTGTGGTCATCATGTCTGGATCTGGGTAGAGTGGACGCCGGACGAATTTCACAGCTTGGGAAGTTTGATTGGTGGCTCTCCACGACCATTTCATCCCACGATTCTTCCTCCGGGTCGTCTTCCTCCGTTTCACTCTCTACTTCTTCCTCACTGTCTTCATCAGTGGCTTCAACCTGTAGCCAATCGGGGTCGGGGGGGTCAAGTTCTTCATCGGTTGCATCAGCGGCACCACTTAGAGCAAGAACTCGATGGAGAGCCCATTGCATATTGAGCAGCTCCATCGATGGGAGTGGATGGCCGACTGGGTCGTCTGTCTTGAAAGTGAGAGTATCCCCAGAGCGTAGGGCTTTTTCGGTGTGAATGTCGAACAGTTTCGTATTGGGTTTGCCTTCCACCTTTATAGAGGACACGCAGCCATCGGGGAAAGGACTCGGGATATCTCTGGACGACATAGAGTCCGAAACCTTGTAAATCGGCATCTAGAAAAATTTGACCTTGAGAACTTTCTTATCTTCGCTGATCGACAAGGGATTTAGGGCGAATCGCGCTGTCTCCCAGAGTTTATGGGCGAGGTTGGACATGCACATCAAGTTGGAGCAGGTCTCCGTGCCATTAGGGCCTAAGACCTGTGCTTTCCACTTGCTTATTGTTTCTTTACTCCAGTACATTCGTAAGATTTCCAAGAAAATGTTTAGTTCTGTTTTCTTCCTCTGGCCGAGGCTGTAGGGGAAGATGTGCGCTACTTCTAGCGGTTCACAGTACCCGGTGAGAATACAAGCGTTCTGATCTCGTTCCTTACACTATAACAGGTAATGAGAAATTGACACGGCCATCTTGTTTGGTTCGGTATGTAAATTCAACTTACCAGTTTCTTGGCTGACTCGCTACGGCCTGCCGGCTGCTTCGTTGTTTCTTGAGGACCTACTGCTGCAGGACGGGTGTTGCCAGCGAGTGTGGGAATCCTGGACGCGGTTTCTGAAGTACGCTGGCGCTTCTTTGGAGTCCTCTCAATGTCTTGTTCTTCTGCGCCCTCTTGAGAAGCAAGTGAGCCTCTAGACCGACACTTCCCTGGTGTTGCATTAGCTCGTACTCAATGGGATAACCGGTTACATCACTTACAAGACATGATTATTTCCTTGAGCGTGTCGCTTGGTAAATTTACCTGCCACATCCATCGGAACCTCCGACTTCTCCGACTCTTGACAGGTTTTGAGATATTTCCTCAAGATGGCGAGATTCGTAAACCAGAGGAGAGCCCATCCCGTCGAAGGGAGTTTTACATGTTCGATATAGGCGGACATCTGGGCAATGATCCTGCGCCGCTCTGGGTCGAGGAGCTCATCTGCAGGTCCCCTGGAGGCTATTTTGTTGGGCGTAAGTGTCGACATCACAACAAAACTGGCACCAGCTTCTGCTGGATACCGCGAGGAAGTTCAAGCAAAAGGGCGAAACGGGTGTGGCTTCAACGACAGGAGGCTAATGGGGGCGAAGTTTGGAAAGGAAAGGGAAGGTGGCAGGAAGAAGGGAAAGGTGGCCAGGAAACAGCCATGGAGGAGTGTTGTCATGCCTACCTACTGTAGGATACGTAAGAAGGTTGTATTCACTTGTAAGCTCTAATCCACAGCTATGTAAACTTGGGTAGTATACTAATGTCAGATCCATCCGAATCGACGTCGGCTTTGCGTTTGGGATCGGTCTTAGCTTTGGCTTTAGGCTTCGCCATAGCGTCGTCAGTTGAACTCTACTACGAATTTGAAAAGGTGACTCCCTTGGCGTGAACGCGGGCATCCTTGGGGGTGCGGACTTTGGAGATTGCCTTGTGCAGATAGTGCCCAGGTCTTATTGATCACATAATCTTTACTTGTGTTTCCCGCTCACTCCCTCGCCATAAACCTTTCCACTCCACCTCTCCGCTTCAGCCTTCACCCTTTCGCCTCACTTCTTCATCCCACAACTTTACGCCCTTCCAATTGTCACCTTGCCCGTCATCCTTTCTCCAGAGGTGTGGGTCAGGCTTCAGTTTCCCGAGGGTGCATACCTCGGCATCGAGGGGGGCGCCGGATTACAACATCCGTCAATTCTATTTGCACATTGGTCAAGAATGATTACAATATCTGACACATCTGACAGCTACAGCTGCCCTAGATCTCCCATTGTAAGTAGATGCAGAATTAGACTTAGCTCCCAAATCTCATGCTTAGAACCAACAACTCGTCTTCCAAAACTGCGGGGTAAACTCAGCAACATCCACGGAGTCATACCCGGACCTCGGCGCCATCATCCATCCTCCATCACCAGCATACTGTCATAGCGTTTAGTAAACAAACTCTGATAACCGAGCAATTAGACATACTCCAAATACATCAGAGTACATAAAGCAAGATCGCAAGACAAGGTGAATGCACAAGAGCAGTATCATCACATCAATCATCCCAATCCATCAGCATCCCAATTTACTATCATCATGTCCATCACCCTCCCCCCATCCTACGAATCCCACCCAACAACCCACATCAAACTCTCCCACCACCCACCCAACACCCCCTCCCCAACCCCGGTCATCATCATCACTCTCAACCGGCCCGACAAACGCAATGCCTTCACCTCCACCATGGCCCAGGAGCTCGAATGGGCCTTCACCACCCTGGACCGCGATCCCCGCGTGAAAGTAATCATCCTGACTGGTAGTGGAGATACATTCTGCGCTGGAGCAGATCTCGAAATTGGATTTAGTGTAGGCGGGAAGGGGAAGGAGAAGTTGAACTTACGTGATTATCGCGATAGGTGGGATACCATACACCCCCCATATACTACTACTATCTATACTACTACAACATAGCTACTAAACTATAATTGAATATATAAAAACAGCGGCGGCCGCGTCGCCCTCTCCATCCACCGATGCCGCAAGCCCACCATCGCCGCAATGCAAGGCTCCGCCGTAGGAGTCGGTATGACCATGACTCTTCCTGCTGCTATTCGGTATGTTCCCCCTCTTCCCAGCTCCACACAATCCCTAATTATAATAATATACTAAGATAATATGGTATAGAATCGCCCACACCCCCAGCAAATACGGCTTCGTTTTCGCCCGCCGCGGCATAACAATGGAATCTTGCTCCAGCTACCTCCTCCCCCGACTAATCGGGTACTCGCGCGCCATGTACCTCGTCTCCACGGGGGCAGTGTACCCGCCTACATCACCGCACTTCGGGGGTCTCTTTGCCGAGACATTTCCCACTAAGGAAGGGGTTGTGAAGCGGGCGGTGGAGTTGGCGAGTGAGATGGCCCAGCTGGTGAGTCCGATGGCTGGGGCGTTGAATCGGGCGTTGATGTGGAGGGCGCCGGCGAGTGTCGAGGAGGCGCATTTGCTGGAGTCGAGGGTTTTGGGTCATATGTTTGCTTCTGAGTAGGTTTTTCTTTCTTTTGTTGTATCTTTTTCTTTTGGTGGTTATTGGTGGGTGCTGACGAGGTGATGGTGTAGGGATCAGAAGGAGGGTGTTGGGGCGTTCTTTGAGAAGAGGAAGCCCGAGTTCAAGTGTGATTTGGATGTGGATGGGCCGGGATATTATCCTTGGTGGGCGGAGGTGGATATTGATCCGAGGAGGGAGGTTCAGAATAAGTCGAAGCTGTAAGAGTGGAAGACAAGGAGGTAGATATAGCGAAGAAGTGAACATATTCAATAATCATTTTAAATCGCTCACTGATATGAATATTCGTACAAACAAAGAGAACTTAATCACAGTTCTCAAGAATGCCATAATAACACTCACTCAAAGGAAACAGGCATCCCATGCAAACCAGAACCACTAAACTAACTTTCAAACAATGAAATGACGTCTCTTGCGGTTATACGCCCGCTGATCCTTTAACCACTGGCGATAACCCTGCACACTACCGATCTTCTCACCATAGTAATCCGGAACAGGGTTAGCAATGGAGTTAGACGACGGGTCGACACGGAAGCGTCTAATACGGTCGAAGAATTCCTTCTCTTTCTGCACAACAATCCATTATCAGCATTCAAACTTCCATAACAAACTTAGAACCAGCAAGGAAGGAAACTCACCACCATAACAGCAGGCTTGTATCTCCGATAAACCAACCCCCAGACAGCATTCCCTACAAACGGACCAACAAGCCAACCCGCCGCACCACACGCCGCCGTCGCCATACCCAGCACCACAAACGGATCCAGACCCATGACCTGCGCGCCAAGGGACTCCAGATCCTGCGTCGAGAGAACCTGCACCCCAATGACCGTGGTGAACAGGGAGCTCACGATCGACGAGGCAAGCGAGTACCGGCGGCGGCTAGCGCGGAGCTTGAAGAACGAGTCCCAGTCGAGACGGACGGCCTCGCTTTTGGCAGCGGCGGCGGAGGAGGAGTTGGCGCGGCGGAGGACCAGAGAGGTGGGGAGCTGCGTTGTCGTGGAGGGACGCAGAGCTGTGGTGGTCTTCAGGGTCTGAGTGCTGCGGACTCGCATGGAGGAGGTGTTGGTGCTTGCGGTCCGAGCTTGAATGAGCGCTTGATACAATGGGTTGGTGCAGCTGCTGGGGTGGGCGAAGGGGCCCAGCGTCTTGGATGTGAGGCGTCCGCTCAGCATGGCGGTACGCATCCCGTTGATCGAGGGGGCGTGCATGGTGGATGGATGTTGGGTTGCAAGTGGTAGGATGTTGTGGTGATGGTGGTTTGATTGATTCGTTCTGAAGTTCGGCGGGTGAAGCTGGGGATTATGTAAGCGGGTCTGAGGCATGACCTCATTGGGAGATGCCGCGGTAAATATGGACTATATAGGGGCAGTGCTTGTTTGGAGTGATGAGTGTGCTCAATGGCTGTAATTGCCTTGGTTTGGTTTAGGTAATATGTTCTATTAACTCGGGGGCGGATTATAGCATTTTTGGTGGGATCTATCGGATGATCTTGGGCTCTTGAAAAGAATACTCGATCGGGAAGTATCATGCTAGACCAGATGACTAGTCAAACATAGCAGTACAGAGTATATCTACTGCTCTTGGCTCTTAGCAGATACTAAAAGTACTAATAGATAGTTCTCCTGTACAGCATAATATGGCATTGTTCTACTCTATACTGCAACGTTCAAGGCATCACTATGGTCGGTAAGCAAGTCAACCAAGTCGTGAAGCGGAGACATAGATATGCATGTCAGAATTAGGTGTACAAATAATTATGCTCCCATTTTGCGTTTCCATCACCAAGCCTACTGGTGGTGCTTCTGTAAGAGGGAAGTCTGCCTGGTTGTGATCGGTAGATCTGGGAGTGAAATAGGGGCCGAAATGAAGATTGCAATGTTGACATTGAGTAAGAAGTGTATTGAGACTCTTACCAGGGGCTCAGAGTAGCTTTCAGAATGAAGAGTGGACCAAAATTTCTGAGAATCGAAGAAGATCGTATAGGCTGATTGTTTGGCAGGCACTATTTCTGTTATGTAATTTGCTCTTGGTGTTGAATGAGCTCGGCTAAAGAGTGCGGGGGTTCAGAACGCTTTGCGGGGTATCGAGCCTAATAGGTGAAGAAGATGCATAATTTTGTACTGTATATTTCCGGAACAAGAACATCTCGCGTATATCGAATCAATTGGCTGAAGTGTTATATGCTGGTAGTATATATCGTCTCATCTATACTGTGGTGTTGACTATATCTCGCCTAGATCGAGTAGGCCCACCGCTATACTCTGCAACTCAAGATGTATGGTTAAATATTGCCGTTGCTTTTGATAGCTCCAGGGCGAGACTGGGCTTTGGCGCTCGTTCCGTATCCGTTCACGCGGCCATAGAGCCATTTGAGAGTTCCCGTGCTCAGCGCCATTGTAACGGCGCTCAGGGCGAAGAGTCCAATGCGACCCTCGAATCCTACAGCCTCAAAAATGGGGTAAGGATACCTGTGCAGTCAGTGAGCTATACTTCTATAGAAGCAAATACAAGACATACCATCCATTGTATTGGAAGCATCGTTCGATCCAGAACCAGTATCCAAAAGCGATGGTGCTGGACAGAGCCAGTGCAGGGAGAACAGTAATAGTCCAAGGAGGTGAAAGAAGAAGAAGGTCAATCAGTAGAACGATAGACGGTATAGCATGGAAGCCGACGTCTTGGTCGCAATATTAGCAAGCTTCCTTCAAGCGATACGAGTCCGACTTACCGGCATGCATGGGAAGTATCACCCAATCAGGAACAACCAAACGCTTATCAATCTGTTGAACAGTTAGGGGGAATTACAATCGTCCATGAAGAAATTAAATTACCAAACGGATCCCCCAATATAGGATGCTGATCAACACTTCCATTGGAGCGCTGCATACAGAAAGAAGGTTCTTGACTAAAAATAGCCGAGCCGATAACGTCATATCCGCCAGCAGACCGGCGGTAAAGGTGAGCGTGGCCAGCGTCAGCCCAATGACCGTCAGGTACTGGAAATGCCAACCATATGCTTCATTACTGCGATGAAGGTCAATGACATCTTTGGTTACTCCAGGGCAAGGACATGGGATACTTACGCCACATTGGGGTTCTCGTGCATGCTAGAGAACGGCTGGTTAGTGGGCGGGCCGAGCACGGGGAGCACGAGCTGTAACGGACTCAACATACTACTTGAACGAGAAGAAGAAGCTGGCTAGACCTAGAGACTGCCATGGGAACAAACATCAGCCCAAGGAACGAGTGACCGACTCGGGGAAGTGCTCACATGAACCAAGGCCGAGAAGCCTCTGGACGGGCTGGACAGGCGCTGCAGGGGATGTTGCCGCTGAAGCGACTGAACTGTTCCAGAAGACGCCATACTGGAAGCGGGATAGAGGTAGAAAATGAAGGAGTTTCGATTAATTAGAACGACACTCGGTTAGAACCCGGAAGCTTGCAATCACTGCCGAAGAGGCATGAAATGAATAAGAGAGATAGGGATCTCACTAATGCAATGATCTAAAGAGCTGACTAGGATGCCCGGCTATTCCGGGGAGGCCTTAGTAACCGGGGGCAGCTAAGCCTGACGGGGTAAAGCTGGGCGCAGCTGAACTGGACAGACCGCCGCGAACCGGAGAAACCCGCCGCCCGGACCAGCTGGGCCTTGGCTTATCAGGCCGGTCTGATTGATGGAGACGGCCGATGGTCTCCCCCCCACTGACTGGTTATCGGGTGGGCTTCATGACTGTTGACTGGCTTGTCTTCTCCGCCCGTCTCGTGTAGCATGTATCTTGGTTCGGTGATTACTTCCACTCCTCCCTTTCTTCTCTTCTTCACTCCAAAAGTCCCTAAATTTTTGCTGGCTTGTGCTTCTTATCCTGAACAACAATAGCGTCACCCTATACCCCCTAATTCTTGGCTACAAATCAGTTTACAACGGCGTCGATCGACTAGTAGGGTTGCTGTTAAACCACATAGATTACCGTGGATTCTTCCCCACACCCCGATGAGTACGAACAACGGGTGTGGGTGTCTTGTCGATTATCGTTTCTTATCGTCTTGGGTGAAACGCCCTACACGCAGGAAAAAAGCCTTCTTCAGTCTCTTATCTAGATCGTGATCGCTGTCTCGGTCTGTATGGCGATCTTACTCTGCAAGGTAGATCGGAACCATCTCAGATTCCGGACCATTTATCGCTGTGGTCGCGATTGCTGTTTGTCGGATTTAATCCCTCAGCCAGATCGGGTGTGAACTTCCATGCCTCGCCCCAGAAGACCCGGCGCGCCAGAGCCGAAACGACGATCCCGTAAGGGCTGCTGGTGAGTTTGCAGATACCTTTTGTATGTATCTTCAATTAACTAGTCCCAGGCCATGCAAAGCCCGAAAGGTGAAATGGTTTGTCTATACCCTGAATCTTTTTCTTTTGCTATCAAAACTGCTTTTCACCGAGAGCGTTACGTCATTATGTTTTCGTGTTGACGATGAAGCTAATTTCATGCAGTGGAGAGGAGAAGCCGTCGTGCCTCAACTGCCGACGCCAAAATGAACCATGTGACTATAGCATCAGGTTGAATTGGGGCGGGAGGACACGGAGAAAATCTTCTGTAGACTCCCCCAGCTCTCAGTCCAGTAGTCCACCGGGCCACTATGCCACCTTCAGTTTCTCGCCATCGAACCAATACCATCCGGATGCCCCGAGTCCAGTCCAGTCATACACACCCTTTTCCATGCGAGACGGAACGACTGTGCCAGATCAAGCTGCAGGGGACTTGCTATGGGATGTCGGACTTGCAGGGGGAATGGAAATAGGAACATCCACAACCAGTCCTAAAGGATTACATGATATCCTCCATGAAACTCCGACTGCCTTTGGCCAGTTAAATAATGAATCCAACTGTACAAATGGCAAGACCTCTGTAGACATGGGGGCTACGTCGCAAGATCAAGAAGCGACCTCCCCATGGCCAGATTTGTCCCCCGATTTAGCCACATCCTCGTCGAGCGAGACCCTGCTCGCTTTCTCCCCGCCTGTACCTTCATCGCTGGACACCATCTCATACCCATCGCCTGCAGATACGAACTCGACTATCGGTTCATTCGCGGCTTTTAACTTTTCCTCTGCCACGATATCGAGGCCCATCTCGTTCCTCCGACATACATCGGATCTCCATCATTCCCCGCCCGACTCCAATCACATGCCCGAATCTCGTACCGAGTTTTCTAGCTATTCCTCGTCTACGGATGTGATGAGCATCTATGGAGACTTCCAGGCACATGCATCATCTTCTGCTCAGAATGCGGCATCGCCAGGGTCGGCAGAAGCAAGTTTGCTTTCGTCAGGATTGGCTCACGAGGCCCCAGCGCTGCAGGCGGGTCCAGCCGTCCATACGGAGAACTTCTTCAGCAAGATCATGAACGATCCTCTGCATCCTGATAGCCAATCCGATGGGGTTTATTCTCGCACAGCATACCTTTCCCATGCTGCTGACAGTGCAGGCCAGAGCCTATCGGAACCGGAGGATGTTTCCATGTCGGAAAAGAGATGGCAAGCTTATCTGACCAGGGTCACGGACAATTACGGGTTGGATTGCGGGCGCCCGGATCTCGATCTCAACAAGAACGACGATCATTCCGCCATTGACATCAACTACGCTTTGGATCTGATTAACTCGGACAGTCGACCTTCCGCTTCGAACTCGGAAGGTTTGCATACAGAGAATGCAAAGTACGATGGATCTGACTGCAACAAGCGTAGCTACTATGCATCGCCGGTACCAATCAATATACCGCGGTATCTTTCGCCGTTGCCACCGTCACTCGTGAAGACGCCAATTAACTTGATGTATTTCCACCACTTTCTCAACCATACCGGTCGCATGCTGGTTCCTCATGATTGCGAAAATAACCCGTTCATCTCGGTGTTACCGACCAGTACGTACCATTAGATGACTCTACTCAGCGCGTTTACTGACATGAACTAATTAGTGGCAATTGGCGACTCTAATCTTCTAAACTTGATGCTGGCATATTCCGCTAGTCATCGGGCGCGGTATCTGGGCCATCCTGAGCCCGCAACCCGAATTGCACACTGGGTGAGCAATGTCTTTCCCACTCTGCGCTTGGCGCTTGAGGATCCCCGTGAGAAGGTGACCGACAGTCATCTTGCGACTGCCATTATGCTTCTTTCTCTGAAAATCATATCTCCCAGCACGTTTGAAGTGCCCATCCCATGGCAAAGTCACTTGAAGCTTGCTCGGGATCTGTATCTGGCACGACAAGAGCAGATGTCATACCCTGGAAACCGTGTCGGCGCATTTCTCACGCGCTGGCTGGGATATCTCGATTTCATGGGCGCTCTGTCGTGCCGGAAAAGCGGACCACCATTGTCTGCATATCAATCTGTTCTAGCTGTCTGCTCTGATGCAGGAACGCATGGCGAATATTGTGTTGACTGCTTCAGTGGATTTGCGCCCAAGACTGGCTTGTTTCTAATGCAGCTGGGAAGATTGACTCATGAGTGTGACAATGAGCGTTTCGATGAAAACGGAGTCTTTCTTCCTGACTGGGAACCATCACCAGGTGTTGTCTTTGAAGCCGAATCCTTGATAGCGGATCTTGGCGCTTTGGAAACCTATGCCTACGCTGACACAGCGCACTTCGGTCCGAGCAAGACCGATTTTCTAGCCACTGACCGGGCCTTTCGCTATGCAGGGCTATTGCACCTTCATCGCCGGGTGCTAAATGCGTCGCCCTTCTCTGAGGCGGTTACGGGGGCCGAAAACGAGCTCTTCAAGGCAATAGGCGACATCCGGCAGAGTGCGTCTGCAGAGGTCGGAGTTCTGTTCCCGTTGTTTACTGCGGGCTGTGAAGCTCGGAATGCCGCGCAACGAGCAGAAATCCAAGAGCGTTTCGATTTCCTCGAAAAAACAGGAATGAAACAGGTGAGTCGATAGCTATTCGCGCAGTTAACAGGTCTGACTTTGTCTCTAGATGCAAAGCGCTCGTACGCTGATGCAGCGATGCTGGTCCGAAGACTTGCCGTGGATCGCATTGGCTCAGGGCGAATTTCTAGGGTAGCCCAGCAGGTAAAATCGTCTTGTACATCATTCTTGCTCATAAGCCAATGCTACTGGGAGAGGTGCATGTATTGTACCTGCAGAGTGTGTCCCGCTGACTGCGCTACTTCCATATATGACGCGAGCGCAGACAGCAGGCCTGACTCTACTGAACTTACTATGTACATATCAAGAGGCCGTCAAGGGGTGGTCATTTGTAGAAGCTGTTGGTCTCCCGCCCAACACTAGGGTTGTAGTACCACCACCACCCAAGGCACGTTGTATACTCAGAAAAAGTGCTTGCCTCTTTGCTCGAATGGCCACACGAGGACTTCAGATGTCTCTCTAGTAGATGATTCTACCTTTCCTTGAGGCGAGGTCTATTTGACCTCACTCTACCCTCCGCATACTATGTCTTAGTAGCAATTCTGCTAGGAATCCTACTACTATATAAAGGCCATTATTTACTCTATCTCTTCTAATCTTCATAATTCTCTCTTTTACAGACCTCGGTAGCGATCTGCGAAATATCCTCTATAAAGGCCATTAGTACTCTGACTTCCTCAACCCAACACAATCTTCTTAGTCTCGCATCGATAACCTTGACACCTAACAAAAAGAGAGGTTGCCTAGTGACGAAGCACGCCATTAAGCTGTGACAGTGAACAACTTCACCAAACGCCCACTACCAGCGCCACTTCCCAAAATGGAAGGGTGCCCCTCCCAGCCATACCGGGATGGTCCTCAGAGTGACTCGGGGACCATTCTAGTCTTAATACTTATTACCATAGTGTTTCTTTGCTTTGTGGTCTATCGTATAGAATCTTATGTATTCCTGATGCTTCAGACGTGCGAGCGGAAAGACATGGCTCACAAGAAGGATAAGAATAGTCTGCAGCTGGAGCGGACCGCGCTGGCTCCAGTGAATCCTTGTGCTCAGAATACTGCTCCGCTCTCCAGTCTCCTGGACAGCGGACTGGACGACATCAAAGTCCCCAGCCTGCAGCCACTGTCACCTATCAAAACGCCTTCTGTTGTCCGGATCACAATTCACAAGGAGCCTACACAGAGAGCGACGAGCCTGCTCATAGACCAGCACGTCGACAATCTGTCCATTCCTGTGCTGGAACCCCAGAGAGTGAGTGCTCGTTCTTATTCATCTACCACTATAACCCAAGTTCGACCTCCATGGTTAACCCGTCTGGTGTGCGTCAAGAAACAGCCGTTCGTCACCATGAAACCACCAGTGCTCGTGCCGTGGGATGGTACAATCAAATGGGCTATCCGAGGATCCAGTGTTTTTGAGACTACGGATGAAGAACTCGACGCGTTGCTGTACCGCCCGAATATTGTCAGCAAGGAATCTCCCACTGAGCTCTGGATGTTCCAGTTTGGCTTGCGCTATATCCCCGCTGAAGGTGACAGAGATGTACACCGCGCCGTCACTATTGAGAATCTACCATCAAACGTGACCCTGCAGCAACTCTTACCTCTAATCACCGGCGAAATCTACTCAGCGCACTTCCTCGATACTGTATCTATCACGGGGTCAAACACCGCTTTCATCGTCTTCGTTACCCAGGCAGATACTGTTGACTTTGTCAAAAATTCCGGCGGTAGTCTCGCCCTGGGAGCGACACAGGCTAAAGTGACCCTGGTCCCGACTCCAACTTATCCTATGGCAGCTAGTATGGCACGGCTGGTTTTCGAAGAGGGTCACACGCGGTGCGTCCGTATATCTGGTGTGCGGGATACTTTGAAGGAAGAGATACGTCGGGTCTTGGGCCGGTCGCCGTTCTTGGATCATCTCGAACGGATCGAGGACGGACAGGTGTTCGGGGATGTCTATGCTCGGTTTCATTCAATCAAGGTGGCCACTGCCGCCTGTAAGCTATTGAAGAGTCATCCGAGCTTCCAGAAATGTAAACTCCGGTTTCTGGCAGCAAGACCTTTGGCGCGGCAACCCCGAATCGGAATTTGGGATTGAAGAGCAGTCTCGTCTTTCTGCACGTCTGTACAGTAGCTAGCCTTTATATCGTTTCATTACTGGCGTTAATGGAGATCCTTCAGTAGTGACCGGGACTTGGTAAGCAAGTAAACAATGCCTAGAATTTCCCCGCATGGGGGCGGGTCTCCAGCATTCCTAGCCGAGCTCTCCCCGGCTTTGACCCATCCACAGTAACCATCGCATCATCCATTGTCATTGATCCGCGGGTACACTACTTAAGACAACACACCTTCTCCGATGTCATTACTCGAGTTGAATTCGGAAGGGAACTTGATCGCCGTGCTAGCGCATTCCACGGTAACACACACATAGCCGACTCAAACATGGCAGTCCTTGCTTCATCCTGTGCAGACTTCCAACGCGGGGAATAACCCTTCGTTTGGGCCCGACTAACTTTTGGGTTTCCTCCTCCAGTTTATCTCGGGCCAATCGTCCTCACGCACACCCTTGGCGATCATCATGATTGGTTTCTTATTGGCTCCGTTGGCGCTGATCGGTCTGTCTATCCTCGCTTCTTGACCCTAGATCCTTCGCGAAGTGCATCGTCATTCAGCTGCAGCTACGATCACGATGGGATTACCAATTGCCGGAAGCCCACCCTTTAAAAACGCTACTGGTGCCTCCCCTCCTCCCTTCACTGCTCCTCTCTAGTGATTTCTTTTTGCTCCTCAACCTCCATCTCTCCCAGTGCCACACAACATCACAATGGCGCAGGTCGCCGAGAAACCAGCGATACACAATTCCTCCCGTGGTATGGTGGATACCGAAAAGGCTACTACAGTTCACGGTTCACCAGAAGAGTCGCAACTGGATTTCCTGGATGACCCAGATGAAGGCTTGAGTGAGGAGGAAAGGGCGAAGATCGTGAGTAACCCGCCCGGGTCAACACCAACAGGGATAATGAGCTGGACTAATGCAATTACCAGGATCGTGCATTACTGTGGAAACTTGATTTGCGGCTCATCCCGTGGTTGAGTTTGCTGTACCTGATTTCTTTCTTGGATAGGTATGCACAATTGCTCCAATGACCGTTTGGGAAATTAATGTGGCTTTAATAGAACAAATGTTGGCAATGCCAAGCTCGCTGGTCTCCAAGGGGACCTACATATGACTAATTCGCAGTACAACGACTCTTTGACCATTTTCTTCGTGTCATACGCAATCTTCGAACCTATCACCAATGTTCTCCTCAAGCGCTGGCGACCTAGCGTATTTATTCCGATTATAATGGTAGTATGGGTATGGATAATGAGGTCTTACGCTGGTTGATCTGCGCTGATTTGAGACAGGGTATATGCATGACTTGTATGGGACTCGTACACAACTTCTCTGGGATTATGGCGGTGAGTGCCTGCATAGATACACGATTTTCAAAAACTGGAATCGCGCGGCGCAATTATTGTCCCTGCTGACGGTAGTAGGTGCGGTGGTTCCTTGGCCTGGCCGAAGCCGGTCTCTTTCCTGGCGTTGGATACTTTTTATCCTGCTGGTACAAACGATCCGAATTCGGCGTCCGCATGGCCATTTTCTTCTCCGCCGCTGCCCTCGCAGGGTCATTTGGAGGATTGCTCGCGGCTGCGATCGCCCTGATGGATGGCATCGGAGGCAAGGCGGGCTGGTCTTGGATCTTCATTCTTGAGGGTCTGCTGACGATTATCATCGGCGTACTGTCCGTATGGATGGTCTACGACTTTCCGGACCAGGCCAAATTCTTGTCCGAAGCGGATCGCAAGCGTGTACTGCGTCGTCTGGCGGCTGACAAGCAAGCCAGCGCCGGGTACGAGAACTTTGAGATGACTTATTTCTGGAGCAGTATGAAGGACTGGAAGACGTATCTCAATGCGATCATCTACATGGGTTCATGCATGCCGCTATATGCATTCTCCCTATTTACCCCGACTATCATCAATGAGCTAGTATGTCCTCTACAAGTTGACTACAGTATACAGTACTAACGGTAATAGGGTTTGTTTGGTGATCCTCTGATTTGATAGGGAACTAACCGGCGCAGGCTATACCGCGATTCACGCGCAGCTGCTCAGTGTCCCGCCTTATGCCGCAGCAGCTATCGTCACCGTGGCAATCGGTTTTATCGCAGATCGGACCGGCCAACGTGGCATCTGCAACATTGCGGTGTCACTCCTCGGCATCGCTGGGTTCTCCTTGCTTCTTGGGGCCAGTTCCGCAGGTGCGCGATATGCAGGGGTATTCCTGGGCGCCATGGGCATTTACCCCGCGATCTCGAACACGATTTCCTGGGCCAGTAACAACGCAGAGGGTATGCATCTCAATGATAGTGAAGAACCATGGCTAACGGTGACAGGTGTGTACAAGCGCGGTGTCACGCTAGGTATTGTCATTGGCTGGGGCAACCTGAACGGCGTGGTATCATCCAACATCTACCGCGGCGGAGACGCGCCTCAGTACTATCCGGGTCACGGGGTAGTGCTGGCATATTTGGTGCTGTTCCTGTTTGGTGGATCACTCGTGCAGTATGTTCTCCTCCGGCGAGAGAACGCGAAACGCCGTCGGGGAGACCGAGACCACTGGATAGCAGGACTGGAGAGACAGGAGATCGAGAAGCTTGGAGACAAGCGGCCAGACTTTATATACACGCTGTAGCTGTACCAGAATCAATCTACATCTTCACCCATAACCTCCCCAATCCACGATCTATAATCTAAACCCCCTCCCTCACCGTATAATAGTTCACAATATCCTGATCCTTCTTCGGCCCTTTAACCACATGTCTACTCGCCCAACTAACCACCTCCCCAATCCCATCCCCACCATCATCATCATCCTCTTTCTTCACCACCCGAAACGCATACGCCGTCCGATACATATCATTAATACAAAGATGATTCCCCCTCGCCGTAACCACCACCGTCTGCTCCCCTCCCTTTCCTCCTCCAGGTATAGATGGCGGCACCGGCGCACTCACAAACTCCTCCCCATCCTCATCCCCACCACTCCCAGATTCATCATTATCAAGAAACTCCATCCCATGAAACAAATAATCCGCGACCCGCTCATCACCCACTTTCGCAAACCAGACGGATAAATCATCCTTAACTGTAGGTGTAGTTGTGGATGTAGACGGGGATGATTTTAACCTCCAGATATAACTCTTCTTCCATTGTAGGTTATGTCCGATGTGTGGCGGCAGGGTCCCCGTCTCGGTGTAGAGAAGTTGGCGCTGCAGCGCGGGGGAATCTTGTGTTGTGGTGGTGGTGTCGGGAAGAGAGGTGAAGGATGCGGTGCCGTGCAGGTTGCCGTTGATGTCGTGCGGGTTTGCGCTTTTGAGGACCCGTAGGAGGGTCCAGTTCTTTGTGGTGAGGGAGGTGAAGAGGGTTTGGAGGTTTAGGTTGGGGGCCATGGTTGGGGTTGGGGTTGTCATTGTGGGTGCATGGTATGGTTGTGTGGTGTGGTGAAGAGAGGTGGTGGGAGAGTGACGGTGACGGAGGAATGGAGGGGGGGGAAGGAGAAAGGGCGGGTGGAGATGCGGGAGGGTGGATTGTGACCCACTGAGCTAATTAGTAGTCTTGGGTTAATACTTAGTAGATCTAGTATTGAGCTATCATCAATGGAGTGAGTTTGATTAGTTTTGAGGTTTCTCATCGACGATCTTCATTGATGATAAGTAATACAATATTTCATTCCATTGAATGCGTCTTGGTTAAGTTGAACGCCCACTTTTTATCAGCTGGTCTGGCACCGAATTCTCACAATTCCTGATTCTAAAAAGTCGCTAACAGATCTCTACTACTCAAGTCTAGGTCTATACTACACAAGTCTGAGATGCTCATTCGAAGTACATACTACTGCCATACATGTATATCTGTACATTCTGCGGCATCATAATTTAATCTCATATTCTCTACAGAGCAAACACACATCGACTTACTCCCCAGCACGCATTACGAACACAAGGTATGGCCTGATCAAACTGGAATATATCAAAAACCGAAGAAAGCTTTCGCTCAGTATTCTATCTAATTACCTTTTTTTCTACCCATAGCAACCACAACAGCATCATCTTTAGCTCCAAACAAGCATACACTCATCCACTGACGCAACAACTATCCCAGCAACACCACCTCACATCACCTAGTTGGGCCTAGGCGGATCCTGCGGCTTGTCATCGAGAGGCTTCGGCTGGGGCTTGGGCTTGGGCTGGGGCTTCGGCTGAGGTTGAGGTTTTGGCTGAGGATTCTTAGGAGGCTTCGGTCCATCGTCGCGCTTCTGTGGGGGATTCGGGTCGCTGGGAAGGGGCCCGTCCTTAGGAGGTTGGGGCATGGGTTGGGGTTGATTGTGAGGTTGAGGGTCGACCTCTGTGGGTTTGGGCGCATTGTCGGGCTTGGATTCATCCTTGGGAGGTTGAGGCATATCACCGCGCTTCTGTGGGGGTTGAGCGTCGCTGGGAAGGGGCGCATCCTTTGGGAGTTGAGGGATGGGCTGGGGCTGATCATGGGGCTGAGGATCGTTCGCAGGCTTGGGAGCGTCGGGTGTAGTCTCATCCTTAGGAGGCTCCGGGCTGTCACGCTTGTTGTTGTAGTGAGGCTTGGAAAGAGAAAAATTAGGAGGAGGGTTGGGGTGGTGGTGAGGTTGGATATCAGTAGGGCCTGAGGGTGTTAGCATGAGAATAACTATGTCAGATTGTTGCAGGACATACGTGGAGCAGGAGGAGCAGCGACAGCCAGACCGGCTACCAGCAGGGTAGAAAAGACTGCAGAGAACTTCATTTTGAGTGACAGCAAGGATTGAAGGGATTGGAAGTTCAAGAAAGACCGGTTCTCTTTATTTGTGAATTGTGATCTTGCTGATGAGTGGATAGCTGGGCTTCAACGTCCCTTTTATACCTCTCGACATGCATATACGGAGTATCATCGGCCTCAACAGTCCAGAACTCATCCGATTACCCTCGTGCAATCTTTGTCTAGACTGAATAAACTTTGCATCTACCAAACCATGGGCTTGATGTATCAGCCCTACCGTGTTTCAATATTGCATCAAGTTAGCAAGATCTTGAATAGAATGGGACCAGCATCCAATACACCACTTGAGAATTTCTTAGTCATCCACAGTCTTGAAAAATATGTAATGACTAGCAGTTTCATCTCTGTTCAATCAAGCCTCGCTTTTCTCCGGGACTGCCCCAAATTTGGGTCCAGGTACGGTGCACCTGCAAAAATCCTCGGCTTCTCGGGCCGGGAACGTTCGTCGATCATGAAGCTTAGCGTTTTAGATGTCGATCAGGCCATGGTATACTAAGTTTGTGAGTCGACGTTTTGATAAGCAGGCATTGTGATGCATCGCCTACCAGGAAGCCAAGCATAATTCAGAGTAGTCCCAAACAAGAACTTTCCACGGTAACATCAGCAATGATGAGTCCGCCTACTTTTCCGAATCCATATTAGCATATACACCTATCTAACTTTTATACATCCCCACCATGTTTCTAAAATGATAACTCCCAGTCTAAGATCCCGACTACCGGGTAGCCTTATATCCAGTCCCTGGGCCATCAGACCAATCCCCAATTCTACCGGTGCAGGGTTTTCCTCATCTGAAACAGTCACAGAAAATCTTTTCAAACAGTGAGTCTATCTTTCTATGCTCATACCATTTATCAATCTAGAACCGAGCAGCCGGGCATACCTAACAGAATTGGTATAAGTCCGTGTCCACATAGGGGCAGTTATACCCGGTCTGAAGCAAAGGAAAACTTTAAACCAGGTACAGAGATTCTTATGCCGTGGATTATGCAGTTGTAGGTAGTCGTTTGATATACTACCAACAATATAGGCATTGCGGATAAGATGGAAACATAACAATATTCTAGTCGTTCCTTCTTAGTGAAGCCCTACTCCAACGACCTTCTGATTCATGATTCATGGCTGTAACAACATGGTAGTGTCCTTTCTCCTCTTGCCCGTAGAAAGGTAACATATGCTATTATGCTTCACTCCAACACAAGAATAGAATAGAAATAAACAGAAAAAAAAAAAAGAAAAGAAATAAATATAATAATGCTCTCCGTGATCGGCACTGCGAACCGAACCGTGAGTTAAATGAAACTTGGCTGTACTTAGCGGGACGAATTGCAAAGTTTGATTGAATAGAGAGATGAGCGGGAGAAGATTCTCGTACGTTTGGTGTTGATCATTGCTTAAGATGCTTGGTCAGTTTCTATAGTTCTCGAGCTAGGTTGTTGTGGGGTATTGGTTATATTTTAGTAGAGTCCTATCTTTATAGTACTCTGGGAGGGTAATGACTTAATGTTTGTAGAAATTAATAGTGCATCGACCCTCTTATTCAATAGATAGGCACACCCTAACTAAGTATCAAGGATCAAGCAATATTTTTGGACGATATATTCAGCCAATACTTGTAGGTTGAGTTAGTTATCTCCTAGGAGCAGTAAGAGACCCCGAAAGCGGTATAGTAAATAGTAGAAGCAGCGGCAGAAACCTGCCCCCGACCGCCCTATTGACCGCTCAAAGCGGCAGAACCTAGCCAACCTCGCTGCAAAAACCCCGGATTTAAGCGGATTTAAGACATTCCAGTTCCCAGAACACTCACCTGGAATCTGTATGTTTTTTGACCGCTTTTGAGCGAGGTGGCAGAATATGGTCGCTCAGCGAGTTGCCTACATTGAAGTATGAGGGTAGTGGATATCGATGAGTGATATCTATTGTTTTGATGGATAGCGTCTATCTGTGTGGTTGAAATAATAGATATGATATGTTGTTGTTTTGTAAAGCATGACTTTTTAGACCTTCTTCGTTGATTTATTCTAATATGAAGTATACAATCCAGGGCCTCTCTTGTCATACTATCATTTACATGCTCCCTTCAGTTTTCATGTCAATATTATGATAATGATGGGATTGATGGGAGTGATACTACTGTTAGAGAGCTTTTACTCTGTTCACCTCATAATCGTCTTCAGAAGCCTATCCAGCTATTGCTTGTTGCCCGAGCGAATGCAATCTCCAATTGTTCTGATATTATATGCTTTTGTAGATGAAGTAATATCATCAAGTTATAAAGAGATCAAGGCTCAAGATCATCAAGTGCAGCCTAATGCTTCATGCTACTAGACCAAGCTCATCTCGATGAATGCAACATGTGCGGGGATCATGGCGTGCGCAAGAACCCCGCATGCCACCGCCGACGATTCATGTCTATCTTTCATCCTTGAATCCTCGAAATCAATCACCCGTATCAACCAAGTCGGTCATTCCATTATAGGCAAATCATCCAGCCATGTCTTCACAAAAAGTCTATTTGGACCACTTGCTTCTCCAATTCAGCAAGGAAGAGTTCGAGTCACCGTCCAAATGGTTGACTGATCACTTTACCATCATTGAGGGTGGCACTCATGCGGGTAAGATATCAATTGGCCCTTGTTGACTATCGGATAAGATCTTTTGCACATGCTTATACCCGGCAGGTGGTCTGAGTCGCAACAAACTAATCATCTTCCCCGACGGAACTTATCTGGAACTCCTTAACTGGATAACCAAACCTGAAAATTGGAGGGACCGACCGGGCGATTTTGCGCTTACTTCTTTGGCACCCGTATCGGCCGAAGATAACCATGACCGTATAGTCAAAGCGCTGGATACCATCTCTGATGATAGCCTGGGGGTGACGTACTCGCGGCCGATCGACGGAGGACGTCAGACACCCAGTGGGGTTGATATTCGTTGGAAGCTACTGAAGGCACGTTATTCCGATACGCAATCAACTACGCCAGATCTCCATCCTCGAGGCCGCACAGATGCACCCTTCTTCTGCCATGATGTCACGGACAGGGTTCTGCGCGTCCCGTATGATCAGTCTTCCGTCGTTGATCACCCGTCAGGCGCAACGGGGATTGCGGGCATCGAGCTGCTCGTGCCTAAAGATAGACTGCAATCCTATGTGGCCCTTTATACGTGCATAGTGGGAGCATCCCCGCGCTTGTCCACTACCGAAGCGGAATTCGAGCTCAGAGCGCCGGGTTCCCTAGATTTCTCCGGGGTTCTTCGCATTCGGGCTGCAACATCGGAAAATGATGATCAATATCTGCGGGAGAAAGGGATTGGCATTTCGTCTTTGCTAATCCGATCGAAAGCTATCGGGGATTTTCGTTTTCCTGTATCAGATTATCTGCATTGAGGTGCTCGTGCTAACCCGTATGTACCAATGCAATGTTGCAACCTATGCCGTAAGGTATTAGTCGAAGAGATGGATTATCAACCGATGTACCACTGTACTGCAGTCGCAGATATCAATCCATTGTAGCGAAATCATGATGTATGCGCATTGCCTGTATCTGATAACTTCATATGAGGTCCTAGTAGACCATAAGTAGTCCTAGATGCTCTTGCCAACTGTTCCAGAAACAGGCAGATGCCTGATCGAGCAAGGGATCTGTCATCCTGGCTTTTCCGACCGTATAATGATCTTTTTATAGGTCGCAGATCGATCAGGAGGTACATGGCCCTTGCTTATCATTTCCGCATTAGTAGAAATTGTTCTGGCTTGCTATAATGCCCACGGGGCATCTGCTTGAAGTCAGCTGTGTTGCTCACCGCTGGAGCGGTCACTGGGTTGAGCTCGTTCAGCTGCTTCAGCGCATGCTGCGGAGTCGTATCGCTAAAGGTACGTCGTACTTCTACTCCTATCTGCACCGGGTGAGCCACACTGGGACAGGTCCTGGTGGCGTCATGGACACATTCCTCCCTGCCCCTGGAATGACCGATCAGCCCGGGGATGAAGGAGATCGGTTCCATCCGGCATCCAGAGCGATCCGTGGATCCACGGCTTTTAAACTCAAATCAGAGGAATGTGTCAAACGATATCAATAATGTAAACTCAGACTTCATGTCATCTAGATGTTAGATGGTTGAGTCGTGAGCAAAGCGGCGGATAGATCGAGGCGATTTCAGAGATTCATCAGTCACCCAAGGAGGCGACTGAAGTCAATAACTCTGAGACACTTCCCCAGGATTACACCCTCGCAATATCCCTGGATGTGAAGGTATCACGGCACCGTTGCATTGTGGGGCTTGGAACCAGGCGCCCCAGATTATTGGGAATAGTGTGCTGCAGAAGATACCCACAGGTCAGTTTGACAGGGCAACAGCCACGGATTCGGGACGACGCATGCGGCGAGGGTTGAGGGGGAAAGACCGAAAGGGTCCGCGGAAAGCAGGAAGATGTAACGAGGTACTGTTAGGGAGATGGGGACAAGTGGATCCCGGTTGCAGGGTGTTGAGATTTGAGGATGATGAAGATGAAGATCTGGGAAAGTAACAGACTACAGAGTCGAGTCAAGAGGGGGCAAGAAAAGAAGAAAGAATAAGATGCGATGGGGCCCTAATCAGCGAAAAAGGCGTTCAGGGTCCAGACTGCGCGGCCATAGATTAAAATAACCGGCAACTAAACTGGAGGAGGAAAAGAGCATCAGCAAGACTTCGTAAAGGACTCCATTCTTACGCAACTTCGGGCGCAAATGAATTTTCGGCGCTACGCAGTGGGCCTAACCAGGGCGAAGCAGGACTAAGCAGGACTAACCCCCAAGGCAGTAACCATCATCCGCCCGTGTCTCCGGCCGCAACCGGCCAGGCAATCCTTCCTCACTCAATCTTCCTTTTCCTTCTTCCTGCCCTCCTTTCATAATTATTATTCTATCGTTTCCTTATCCTGTCTGGCCCTTTTCGCTCCCTCGCCTATTCCCGCTGTTGTCGAGGGCATCTCATCGGTCCATCTATCCCGTCATTCGTTCGACTCGGTCTCCCACCACAACCACCACCACCCTTCTCAACTGCCACCTTCGCTACGCCCGTCCTTCGCCAACCATTATATTCTTTCCCTCCCCGCCACGACCACCACCACCACTCACTCGCCTTGGACTAAATCATTATCGTCATATCATGGTGGGCACCTCCCAGTGAGCGATTTCTCTCCCCCCCGACGGTCCCCACCGCCCTCCTTTCAGCCGCAAGATACCTCGTCATGGCACGTTGGCCCCAGGCCTTGACCCTCAGCCATGCTGCCAGTTCGACGTCGACCATGCTCTTCTATATCTCCTTGATCTCCATCGCTCTCTCGACCGTTGTTCGCGCTCACACTGTCACCCTTCTACCATCTACCGCCTCGTCCGACTTACCCTCATGTGCTTTGACTTGCTCGGTCTTAAAGGAGGCCCAGAATGAGTGTGTGCCTCCCGTCGCCGCCCAGACCGATCATGCGACCTACGTCTCGTGCTTCTGCCAGTCAGCTCTGCTCGACCAGATTCATTTCCCGACCGGTGTCTGCACGGAAAGCTGTCCCAGTGCGTCGGATCGTGCGTTGATCCGGACATGGTATGACGAATTTTGCTCGTCCGAGGACACCCTCGCCGCAAGAGACACCACTACCTCCATTTTCGCGAGAGATTCGCGCTCCCAGACCTGGTAGGTAACCCCCGCCCCAGTGACCACTTGGACCGGCGCAAATGTTAACATACGTAGGTGGACCACCCACTATCAATGGGTGATCATGGTGATTGTCCTGGTGGTCGCGTTTTCCGTCATCACCGTCGTGGGTGTCTGGCTCAAGCGTCGCCATGACCGAAAATACCCTGGCCTCTACCACGCTACCAACACGGCAGGAACGGATAGCGCACTGTTGGCAGCCCGTCAGCAGGACAATAGTCCCTCGCCTCAACCGGGACCTCCCCCACAGGGCTCGTTCAGGCCCGGCCGATTCGACCCCACGATAAACACCGAGTCGATTGCCAGCAGTTCGCGCACCAATATCACCGCTCCGACGACCCGGCCCGCTCGAAGTTCGTCGCGTCTACAAAAGGCCCAGCCAGTTCCGGAGGGCGATATCGAAATTCGCGAAGTTCGCCGGTGATCTCCGTGCATGATTACGGTTTCTTTCTTTTTGTTGTTTGCTTTTTCTCTTTTACTTCCAGTGTCAATCTTTTCCTACTTTGAGAGCGGGAGAAATGCGCCGTTCACACCTTTAGTACCGGCATGACGTGGGTAAAGCCAGTCGGGAAACAAATCCGCGCAGCTCGCGAAACAAACTTGCATATACCTGGCGTTCACGTGTTTGTGGGGTTCAACTGGGAAACTCATGTCCAGTTTCAGTCCGATTCCCTATCGTCCCACCCTTACACTTCTTTTCTTCTTCGTCATCTTTTGACTCTCTGCCTCACCTGCTCCGAATGATTGTGCATAAATATGGTTCAGGTTTTCATTTGGCTGTGGTTACTTTGACTCTTGTGATCGAATATAGTCACTTCTGTTGCTCGCTTTCTTTGATGCATCGATTTTTATACTCCTATACTCGGAGCATGACCAGAATCGAATATATATATGACTGATTTGTAGGATTCTTACTTTTGACTGAGGAGGGAATGTACCTACCAAAGCAATAACAGAGAATCCAATACATACAAAAAGTGACACAAATATATGTACTGTCCCTAAGTGTCTTAGGATTAATATCGCAATCGGCACATACATCACTATCTCCATTTCACACGTGGTTCAAAGGTAGTAAACTACCAACGTACCGACAACCCAAAACTTGCCTTCCTAAGTACTACCAATTCATTGAACCCTTAGTCTAACCTAATGATAGTGCACTATGAATAGGGTATACTACTATCGGACTTCTTACAAACCAACCACTAATGCTCCTAATGCATGTTTTATGTTAATCCTGCTAAACTGACGGTAGTAATAGTATATAACCCAGTTAATTATCGGAATTACTAGCATCAGAAACCTCCCAAAAGATTTCGTGCGTGCGGGATAGCAAGTAGTACTTTTGTTGAAGTAACTGCCATAGCTCGAACAGTCTCTACTACTCAAGAGGACATTTTAACGTAACTAGAGTGAGATACAGCATTGTGTTTCGGTACCGACATCAATAATATATTTGGAATGCTAATTTACAGGGTAGTAGTATAATATAGAAAATGGTGGTAGACAAAAACAAAAAGCATCGCTGAACCCATGATTCAAGAATAGAAAGAAAAAAAAAAAGAAATAGACCAAACCAAGAACAACCCCCTAAGTAACCGTTATACTAACGATCTTAATATCCTGTTCCGGCTTCTCCTTGAACGTCTTGGTATTCTCAATCTTATGCACGACATCCAAGCCCTGCACTGCACGGCCAAACACCGTATGTTTCCCATCCAACCAGGGCGTCTTCTCCGTCGTGATGAAGAATTGACTTCCGTTGGTGTTGGGACCCGCATTAGCCATGGACAATGTATACGCTTTATCGTGTTTGAGACTGGAGAATTCATCCTCGAACTCGCCGCCCCAGATGGATTCACCGCCTGTGCCGTCTCCTAGCGGGTCACCACCCTGAATCATGAACTTGCGGATGACACGGTGGAAGATGGTGTTGTTGTAGTAGCCGTTGCGGGCATGAGTGGTAAAGTTTTCGACGGCTTTAGGAGCAGCGGAGGGGTAGAGGCGGAGGTGGATGTCGCCCATGGTGGTGTGCAGGATGGCGGAGGTGCCCAGCTCGGCGGCCTTCGGAGCGGCGGCTTCACGGCCGGAGGCGGCTTCGCGCGGCCGTTCGTTTTGAACGTCGCGGTTTGATTTGGAGATTTCCGTGTCGTTTGTGAATAGGTAGAAGCGGACCTTGGCGAAACCTGTGCTGACGAGGATTGGATCGCGTTCTTCGGCTTCTTGGAGGAGTGGGTTGGCACTGGCGGCCATGGATACGGTCACGACGCCCTTCTTTTGCGGTTGGCCTTGGTACATGGCGAGGTTGAGGGAGCGGAAGGGCTCCTCTTTGGCGTAGACGCGGACGACGCGGTTGGTGTAGGTGTTGATGCATTTGATGCCGTAGAGGGAGCCGTAGAGGATGAAGTGGCCGGATTCGTCGAAGAGGACGTTGATCTTGGGCTTGGTGATGGGGTTCTCGAGTTCCCGTTCTACGGCAAGTCGGCGGCCGAATTCAAGCTCGTCGAGCTGGTAGATGGCTGTGCCGGCTTGTTGCATTGCGGTGATTGTGGTCAGTGATTCGTCGTACTTGCGGTAGAGCTTGCCCGTAGCGAAGTCGAAGACGCGGACTTGACGGTCCGGGAAGGAGACGGCGGCGAATTGTTGGCCAGACGGGGAGATGCACAGCGACGCTGGAACTGACTTGGCCTTTCGGAACTCGAAGAGGTTGGTAGACGACTTAAGCTCGAAGACATTGTCGGGCTTCTCGAAGGAGCCGTCGCCCGCTCGCCAGTACTCAATCATACCGGCGTCGTCGGCGGAGATGACACAATCGTAAGCGTCGTTGAAGGCAATGGCGGCCACAGGACTGCGGTGGATCGATTTGACGGTGTGCAGAGGGGTCTGGTTTTCACCACGGCCATCGAAGACCTGGATCATGCTGCTTTCTTCGTCTGTGACGGCCAGCAAAGGCAGTGAGGCGCCCCGACGATGGACCCAGCATACGCAACGCGGAGTGAAATCGAGGGTGAGCATGGCAAGAAGGTCTGCAATAGGGTTAGTATACCCGGTCGCGGCAACATCAAAGAGTTTATATGCATACCAAAGGTGATCACATCAAAGATCTTGACCGTCTTGTCTGCTCCGGTCGTCGCAAAGCTTCTTCCATCGGCGCTGACGCTGACGCTCTTAATCTCCGAGGTGTGAGCGCGAAACTCCTTCACGAACTCGACACCGACTGCCATCTTCTTCCAAAACTTGACAAAGCCATCAATGGACGAGGTTATGAGGAAATCGGTATGCGGAGTCACGGTGACGAAGGACAATTGGTCCTTGTGCATGAGAGACTTGGAGTACCGCGGCGATGCGGGCAGCGCGTTTACGTAGACCTTCTCGAAAGGGAGCTTGCGACGCTTCTTTTTCGGTGCATCAGCGGAAGGGAGGGCCGGTCCAAAGTCATCGTCGGAAGATGAGTCGTCTCCTAGAAGAGCTGGTCAGTAGCTATTCAACTGCGCATCTTCTCTTCATGGTAGCTCGCAGGAGCTGGTCCGACAATTGGGGACGTACCATTCTCGTCGCTGCCATCCACGGCGGAATGGGGGCGCTTGTTAGTCGCCAGCTTTTGTTCCTCCTCTGCAGGCATTTTAAAAAAGTTAAAGGCGATTTAAAGAGTAAATAAAGGGATGAGCAAGACAAGCAGCGCTGGTCAAGAAGCGATGGAGGAGCAAGGCCGGGCGGTCTGCCACCGCCGGCGGAGCTCGGGCCACATCGCGAACTTTTCTGGTTGTCCCGCATTGGTTGGCCTCGCCGTCTCTTGAGTCCTCACCGTCCAGGAGAAGCATCCCCCCCTGAGCTGCCAGTCTTTTCCCCCGACGGTAGCCCATCCTTTCATCCACATTTAGTCACCATGGTATGTTGTTTGTGATGCCCTTGATCTTGTTATGTCCGCCTTTATCTAAATACTGACCGCCCCTCAAGGCGTCCTTCGCCAATCCCACGCAGATCTTTGCGGACGATGTCATCGAAGAGAAGGGTGAGAATGCTCGTTTGTCCGCCTTCGTCGGTGCCATCGCCGTCGGAGACCTGGTGAAGAGCACCCTTGGTCCCAAGGGAATGGACAAGATCCTCCAGTCAGCGTATGTGGGATAACCCGTGAAGCTAAGCGGGGTTGCACCCCACGAGCACCACACTGATGTTATGGCTGATCTAGGTCGACCGGAGATATCCTCGTTACGAATGACGGTGCTACGATTCTCAAGTCAATTGCTCTCGACAACGCTGCGGCCAAGGTTCTGGTCAACATCTCGAAGGTGCAGGATGACGAAGTCGGTGACGGCACCACCTCCGTGACCGTGTTGGCTGCGGAGTTGCTGCGGGAGGCTGAGAAGCTCGTGAACCGCAAGATCCACCCCCAGACCATCATCGAGGGATACCGGATAGCTAGCAAGGCGGCTCTGGAGGCTTTGGAGAAGGCGGCTGTTGACCGTAGTGCCGATATGGAGTCGTTCCGCAAAGACCTCCATGCCATCGCTCGTACCACCCTCAGTTCGAAGGTCCTGGCCCAGGACCGTGATCAGTTCGCTGCCCTCGCTTGTGACGCTGTCCTCCGTCTCCGTGGCTCGACCGACTTGAGCCACATCCAGATCATCAAGAAGGCCGGTGGCAAGCTTAGCGACTCCTACCTCGACGAGGGTTTCATCCTCGACAAGAAGATCGGTGTGAACCAGCCCAAGCGCTTGGAGAACGCCAAGATTCTGGTCGCCAACACGGCCATGGACACAGACAAGGTGAAGATCTTTGGTGCACGGGTGAAGGTCGAGTCGACAGGCAAGCTGGCGGATCTCGAGAAGGCGGAGCGGGAGAAGATGAAGGCCAAGGTTGAGCGGATCAAGGCTCACGGAATCAACTGCTTCGTCAACCGTCAACTCATCTACAACTGGCCCGAACAGCTGTTCACCGAGGCTGGCATCATGTCCATCGAGCACGCCGACTTCGATGGTGTTGAGCGCTTGGCCCTGGTCACTGGCGGTGAGATCGCCTCGACATTCGACCACCCCGAACAGGTCAAGCTGGGTCAGTGCGATGTTATCGAGGAGGTCATCATTGGCGAGGATACGCTCATCAAGTTCTCGGGCGTGGCTGCCGGTCAGGCATGCACCATTGTGCTCCGTGGTGCCACGGAGCAGCTGCTCGACGAAGCCGAGCGCTCTCTCCACGACGCTCTGGCCGTGCTCTCTCAGACAGTCAAGGACCCCCGGGTGACCCTGGGTGGTGGCTGTGCCGAGATGGTGATGTCCAAGGCCGTTGAGCAGGCTGCTCAGAACACGACCGGCAAGAAGCAGATGGCCGTGGACGCGTTTGCGTACGCTCTCAAGCAGCTCCCTACCATCCTGGCGGACAACGCTGGTCTGGACTCTAGCGACCTGGTGACGCGACTACGACAGGCGATCAACAACGGCATGACCAGCTCCGGACTGGATCTGCTCACCCCGGGCGGTGGCATTGCTGACATGCGCGAGTTGGGTGTTGTGGAGAGCTACAAGCTGAAGAAGGCGGTAGTGTCCTCCGCGTCGGAGGCTGCAGAGGTAAGATGCTTCTTCGAATCTATAAAGTCAAGTCGATTATACTGAGACTAACCACCTTACAGCTTCTCCTGCGTGTCGACAACATCATCCGGGCTGCGCCCCGTAGACGTGAGCGTATGTAAGGGACGAGGGAGATGTCAAGTAAATATCCAATATCCAATCTTATGTGAGCGTGGAAAATAATGTGAACTTGATTTGAACCCGCCAGAAGATGATTTAGGTGGATGACATCCACTTTGTGCTCTATAGGGAGCGTAATTACCATGCTATAGACCTTTCGATGAAAAAAGCATCTGACGAATGATTTTGAGACATGCTTATATTTCTTTTTTCTTTTACGTAGGCGATGGCACTCGTGCTGCCTCTCGCTGCCTTCACGTCATGGATCAGGTATGATCTGCTTACCATCGATTTGGGGGGCTGCGCAAGAGTGTCCCTGAACCTACGCTGTGTAGTAATTGCAGCACTCTGATCATCACAGACACGGGAGTTTAGAGCTGGTGCGATGTGGGTCGAAGGAGTGTTCCTGCCGCCGACCTGCCATCATTTGATGTGGTACAACATATGCCCTCAAGTATGACGAACTCAAGTTTATCCCAGCTCTTCCTTCAAATACATTGACCAGGCACCCCTCGAGTAGCAGCAGGCAGAAACAAAATAGAAGTAGGACAGCACCAGTTGAGATTACTACAACTACTAGTACTCAACTATTCTAGACGAAATAGACGAATATCCTGTAGGTAAATTGCCCCAAATGTACGAGGGCATGGGAAAAATTGCGGCCGCAGCCGGCCATTGTGTCAATTACTAACTAATCAGTTAGTTAGTTAGTTAGACAATGATGGCTGTGTCAGAGCAGCATCTGCGCCAAGGATGATAAGCGGTCGAGGATCCAAAATCAAAAATGGTTGTGCGCACCACAATTTTCCTGGCCGATCATTCCCAGCAGCCAAGAACTGACACGGGCGATTTCCTATATTTAGTGAGCGTTTTAATGTTGTGGGGGAGGGACAGCCTGACTGTGAGTTAGTACTTATTTCTCCGAATATGTGCATTTGAGACAAGGGGGGTGTGGTGGTCGGTCGCATGACTTTTTTAGTGATATATGTCATTAACAATATTTACATATAGTTTTATCACTCATACAGTATACTGTCCTGTCTATAATGATATAGTGCTGCTTCTGTCTCCTGCAATGATAATGATTACTATTCTGTTAGCGTCCAGTGAAGTATTCCGCGGGGCGATCGATGGGGCACGCCCCCGCAAGAACGGGCCAGTCAGGATCCCCCGCGGCAAGCCATTGCGCGTTCGGCGGCCCCCCCAAGGCACCACAAGCAACTGCTGGACCCTGAAGCTAAAGCCCGAAAGTTTAGTAACTCCAGTTCCCAGGGTCCAACAGACAGTGCGCCGGACTAAGCTAGTAGTAGTTCTTCGGGTCCCTGAACATGGGATGGATGGAATACCACCCCATGGCTCATAGCGGAAGGGGTTACGATCCACTGCTACTACCTTTCGTGATTTTAATTACCACCCTCCCACTCCGGTACCACCTCCCCCCCCAGTGACCTGATGCCGTCACTGCAGTCTCACCACTACAAGCTGGTCCTGTACCACTTGTTCTTCTTCTCCCATCGTCTGTCATGTTAACTGCTTTGACTGGTCTAGTCAAGATCTCTCAAGCTCTGTCAGCACTTGCTTAGAATCTTCTCGCTCGTTTGGATCCTCAGTCGCAAGGCTGGACGTGATTAATCCCCTCATTCCACTCCCTCCCCCTCCCTTCCGCATTCCGCTCACCACGTTCCGTCTTCGTCAACGGAGATTTTTCCCATCACTTCATCCGCGTCTTGATGCTGCTGTCTTCTTCGTCCTTCATTTGAAGTTTCGCATTTGTGTCTATTGACGATGGTTGTGCCCGGCTGGATATGGGCGGTCTTTCTGACCATATTTGTCTTCTTTCAGAGAACAGTGACTGCTCTGCAGCTGGACATTAACGATGAACGTAAGTAGTCTGTTTTGTGCAGGATGCACCCAGATGCAGAATCTGATCATTGCGCAACGATAGAATCCATCAAAGATGCCGCCAGAACAACGGCCTTCAATATGATGAGCTATTATCATGGAAACGAATCGGGTCAAACACCAGGGAAGCTGCCCGATACCTGGTGGGAAGGTGGTGCTATGTTCATGACATTGATTCAGTATTGGTATTGGACTGGCGACTCCTCTTACAATGAAGTCACCACTCAGGGTATGCTCTGGCAGAAGGGCGACAATGACTACTTCCCAGCCAACGATAGTAATTATCTGGGTAATGACGACCAAGTCTTTTGGGGCCTAGCTGCCATGACGGCTGCAGAACTGAACTACCCCGAACAAGATGGTCAGCCGTCGTGGCTGTCGCTCGCCCAAGGTGTCTTCAACACTCAAGTCCCCCGATGGGATACTTCCAGCTGCCAGGGTGGACTGCGTTGGCAGATTTGGCCCTACCAGGCTGGTTATACCACCAAGAACGCCATCTCGAACGGGGGTCTGTTTCAGTTAGCCGCTCGTCTGGGACGTTACACCAATAATGATACATACACTGACTGGGCGGAAAAGATCTGGGACTGGAGTGCAACAACACCTCTGCTGCAGACGGAAGACTGGTACATTGCCGACACGACCACTACAGAGGCAAACTGTAAGGATCACGGTGATATACAATGGACGTACAATTATGGAACCTACCTCAGCGGCGCCGCATACATGTACAATCTGGTCAGTGCCCTTGCCTTGGATCTCTGCTTCGATCTTATGTTCGATTAATACTAATTGATTCTAGACAAACGGCGCCGACAAATGGAAGAAAGGTCTCGACGGTCTGCTGGCAAGTACCTTCTCAAGGTTCTTCCCGAAGGAATACGGAAGTAATATTATGTCCGAGGTTTCCTGCGAGCCTAACATGATGTGCGATCGGAACCAGGACTGCTTCAAGGGTTTCTTGTCCTCCTGGCTTACCTTTACTACAACCATTGCGCCCTATACTAGCGATCAGATTATTCCGAAGATCCAGCAATCTGCCCTAGCAGCGGCGAAGCAATGCTCGGGAGGCGACTCCGGTACCCAGTGCGGGCGGCGGTGGTACCAAGCGCAGTGGGATGGCGAGACATCGCTTGAGACTGATATGAGTGCTTTAAGTGTTTTTTCGTCAAATATGATCACGCATCGGCAAAGCCAAGGTGGCCAATCCCAGGGACCATTGACATCGGACACTGGCGGTACCAGTCAAAGCAACCCTAATGCAGGAACCGGTCCAAAGGATGCACCTAATAAGCTGCCCGACATCACAACCGGAGATCGTGCAGGGGCCTCTATCCTGACCGTCCTCTTTGTCGGCGGCTGGGCTGGTGCTATTACCTGGCTGGTCTATGGAGGTTGAGCGACATTCGATATCTTCACTTTTCACTATGTACATAATCTGCTTCATTGAGGCAGAGACGGCTCTGTCGCTGTTGTTCTTTTCTCTGCGATTCGCTGGTTTGGGTCTTCTTCTGGGTTTCGCTTATTGCGCATCGCGGCCTTGTATTAAAAATTTGTGTAGTGCCTTGGAGTTACGGGCTTGGAGGGATATTGGAGTTGTGGTGTTTGGAGCGAGTCGAGCTCCACAGACGGAGGACTCGATTTTGGGATAGCTATTGAATAACAGACTTGCTTCTAGCTTTGTTTTTGCTTTTTATATGAGACCGAGTCCGTCTCACCGAGCGATAGCAGTTTTTCACGCCAATGTCTATCGGCGCGAACCCCAAATTGACTCGTCAATCAGCTCACTATAGCCTGTAACTATAGCAGTTCCCAATCCGGTTAAGACCAGCCACGCCGCCCTAATCTGGAAAGCGGTCAGACGCGCTGCAGGATCCACGGCGGGCGAGCCAATAAGGCGGTGTCGAGGCGACAATATTCATCAGATAGAGCGATAGATTCACTTCTTCTGGCAGCAGCAGGAAGGGGACCACAAAACACCTGTCAATCCCCTGGCCCATGGTCCAAGGTCGGTGTTACTCGCTGACACTTACCGTCCCGCCATTCAATTCCACCTTCTCACCTCCAGGCCTCCCTCTACAGCTTCATTTCCCTTCCCCATCCATCCCCGCCATCCAAATACGATTTATCATATAGTTGATCACTACACCACGCTCTACTTGCTGCACGGATAATGCTCATTGCAGCTTCCCCTGCTGCTGCTACTACTTCAACCGTTTGACACACACCGATTGCGCGCATCCTATCCTTCCTCCGCCGATATGGTCTTTCTACGTCTCCGAGTTAAGGTCTACCCGCGCGAGCAGGTTGCGCCTACGCCATCCTTCTCCTTCCGCTCGATCCTCGGTGATCGCGATCGCGATCGCGATGACGCCAACCGCGGTGCTAATGGCTCGGGCGGTGGTAAACCCGTGGCCTTTCTGCTTGTGCTTGAGAAGCCCGAGGATATTACGCTGGGTGGACTGGCTGGGTTGATTCAGGATAAGTGGAGGAAGTTGAGACCTAATGCGGAGTAAGTGCATGACTCTCTGGCTTGTCTACTCTGTCGTGCTTGGGATGAGTTCCGTGTACTACCGACGGATTGGCTAAATCGCGTCATGTTAGACCTCTGGACATTAAGAAACTCCTCGACGACGATCATGAATCCGATGACCTCGACGCCGATATGACTGTCGCGGAAGTGTTTGTCGATAACGGTAGAGCACGCCAAGATATGTCCGACCAGCGGGGTACCGTTCGTGTGATACAGAAGCCTGGTCAATATGCCCCTGTGCGGTTCCCCTCCGTCACCCAGGACTGGGATGCCGCTGCACAGAACTTTGAGCGTCAGATCCAGGTCAAGAAGGAGGCTGTTAAGAAGGCGATGGATCAGATTCCGACCATCCATGAAGAGGAGGGTAATGAGTATTCGAATGCTGGCTCTGCTAGTGCACGGTCGTCTGTGTGGAGTCCCTATGAGAACCGTCGGTCAGAAATCCCCGTTTCGTCTGTCGAAAAGGATGAGGTTCCAGGCTCGCCTGTGCCTTGGGAGAAGAAGTCGGTACTGCATGAAGAGGATTCTCAGAACCAGATGGGCAGCAGTATTGCAGCTACACCTTTGCATAAGCGCGTGCAGAGCCAGGAATTAGGGGATTCCCCGTCGCACACCCCGACGCCTGAAGAGCGCACTGCGTCTAGGCACAGTTCCTCGCAAGGTTCTGCAAAACAGCAGGTGAAGCAGGCAACGGAAGGGCAAGCTAATGGCCCGCATGAAATGGAAAGTATTGATGGATCTCTGTCGCCGTTGAGTACTCGGAAACCACTCCAACGTCGACAGATACCTGAAACCCAGCCGCCAGCCCCGGTCGTTAATGTTGACAGTGAGAGCGAGAGCGAGAGCGAGAGTGAGAGTGAGAGTGAGAGTGAAGATGAGACAGGAGACGAAAATGACGAGAACTTGGCTCCCCCATCTGCTCAGAAGAACAAGCTCCAGAATGGCGATGTCGATATGCATGATACAGTGGAATCTACGCAGGAACAGCCGCAGTTTAGCTCGCGCAAGAGAAAGTTAAGCCAGGACGACTTCGAACCGAGCAAGGAGCCCCGCCTTTCTGAGCCAGGAAGCACACATGATACCCCCAAGGGCAACAAGCACGGCACGGTGACAGTTGAGGTGAGTCCGTATACTCCGAGCAAGCGCGCGCGAACCCCATCAATTGGATTTAGCCCCCGCCGAAGCTTTTTAATGCGTGCCCCATCCGCGCCCCCAAAACATGGTCTAGGCTTGGGAATCACAAAAAGCCCTCCTAACAACCGACTTACACGCTGTTTAACCCAGGACTCGGCCATCCCCCAACCCAACTTTTTGGCCTCTAATGGTACCCCGGAGATACCCAGCAGCGCCCCTACTATTCGCCGTGGCTCAGTATCGCTTGCTCCATACTCGACGCCGTCGAAGGCCCAGGCACCCCTTGACAAAGTCAAAAACCTGCACTCGGCCTTGCGCAAAAGTTCCCCAGCTGAACGACCATCCGAGCGCCGATCAGTATCGTTCGCCGAATCCGACGAGGTAGTATTTGCTGGGTCTCAACCAGTGCCAAAGTCGAACCCTCAGAGTACCTCGAAAACTCACGCCAAGGGTTCAGACGCCAGCCGGAGGACGTCCGATCCAAGCTCTATGGTCTTCCCTGCTTCGGTGCCCAAGGAGCGGCTGGACCAGCTCTTGGAAGAAGCAAACAGGAAAATCGAGCAGGATAAGCAATACGAAGAGGGGTTGCAGGCTAAACTCCAGGCCGCGCGCGAGCAGAAAGCCGGTGCTGCGTATATTCGCAAGCTACAGGAACTGTCGGACGCATGGACCGCTCTCAAGAAGGCTGAAAAGCACCAGAAGACGAAAACAGTAGCTCAGCGAAAGTTCGACTCGCTTCAGAAGGAGGTCGACAAGCTTGAGGCTGCGCAGAAATCTAAACCAGCTTCTACTACACCACAGAAGAAACAGCAATCTACGACACCACGCTCTCAGCCCGCTGATGCCGCTAATCTACCGACGCCGCATGACACGAAAGCTGCGAATGGCACCAAATCTCCAGCTTCGGAAAGCCGTGCTCAGCCTCAGAAGACTTCTCCTATGCAAATGCGGACCAGGTCAGCTAGCAAGGTGGACGCTTCTCCGAAGATTGCCAGCGAGCCTCAGAGCTCTCTTGTTTCAGACAACCTGGACCTGCCGCCCATGAGCAGAACGGTTCACAGAGCCGGCTCTTCCAAACCAGACGGAACACCAGCCCTTGCAAGTACGGTGAAATCGCCCGAGAAGGCTTCTAAGCCGTCCCCGCAGGCACCAATCGAGCTGTCTTCCGATTCAGAAGAGTCCGAGGAAATTGAATCAGAATCCGAGTCGGAGTCGGAGTCCGAGGAAGAGGAAGAGAAGAAGCCTGCGATCCGTCAAACAGCCTCTTCACCAGTGAAAGGCAACACCGCAACACCCACCCAAGTTCCAGCCTCGCAACCAGCTCCGTCGCAGACATGGGCACGTCCTTCAAGCGCGACGCGCACGACGCGCACGACACTAAAATCATTGATCCAGAACCAGAAGAAGGAGCTGGAAGCGAAAACGCAGCCGAAACGCGCGGCAAACTCGCTGCCACAGAAGCGAAGTGTGTACTCGCCGCCGTCTGACGATGACAGCGATAGTGAAAGCGAGAGCGAGAGTAGCAGTAGCGACAGCGACAGTGATTAAACATACCTTTCTCATTCAACTTCGTCTTTAACATTTGATTCTTCCGGGTGGTTGTATCATCATCATCAACATTATTGTCAAGCGCACTGTGTTGGCATTTCGGCTTTCTATCTGATATAGCGAGAATACTTTATCTCAGTGATTTGGACGTGTGCACCTAGCAGCAGCATCTGGCGTGCATTTATGTATGTATTGTTTAGTTCCAATGAACAATGAACAAGATAGCAGCACTAGTAACAACCAGACTCAAGATCAACTAAGGCACATTAACCCCATTCTCCTCCCCCTCCCCCACATCCTCATTCTCCCTCCCCATCATCCCCTCCACCTCTTTAACCTCCCAATTCCACCCAAACACATCCTCCACCTCCCCCGTCTGAATCCCCTGCAACAACCCCAACAACCTCCTACACACCGGCCCCCCTTTCCCCTTTCCACCATCACTACCACCACCATCCCCACACTCAAACCCCCACTTTTCCCCCCGACTCTTCATCGTAATACTCCTCACAGGAACCAACCCCGCCGCCGTCCCCGCCGCAATCACCTCATCAAACTCCCGTATCTCCTCATACTTAACACTCCTCTTCTCCACTTGATATTCAAGCATCTTCTCCCCGATCTCCAACACCGACGCCGCAGTCACAGAATCAATCACGTTGACACTATCCGGCTGGACCAGCGTCACATTTCCTTCATCCCCATCCCCATATATAACCCCGATAAACGCACTCGTCGAAAACTCATCCACCTCACTCCTTGTCTTACTATCCAAATGCAACGTGATCCCATACCCCTCCTTATACGCCGCCATACTATGTCTCTGGACGGGCGCATAGTTCCCCCCCGCTTTAGCACTCCCTGTTCCCTTTGGCGCCGTGCGATCGTATTCCTCGAGGATGAGCGCATCCACGGCGGAGATCCCGTGGTATAGGCCTGTCGGTGTGACGTACACGGCGAAAGTGAATGTTTCTGGTGGCGTGAGAGAGATTTGTGGTGATGAGCCGAACACGAGAGGCCGGATGTAGAGCGCTGAGAGGCCCCCTCCTGTGAGGGCGGGGTTGGTGTAGGGGGGCACGTATTCGGCGTTGGTGGCTACCGCGAGGTTCACGGCGGAGAGGAAGATGGGGGTGGGGATTGGGGGATCGAGAGGAGGGTGGAGGAGTGGGAGAGGCGGGTGGCGTTGAGGGTTGGGCGGAAGATGGTTATTTTGTTGTTTTTGGTGCTGGCATGGCGGAAGGCTTTTAGGCCTTCGTAGGCTTGTTGGCCGTAGTTTAGGGCTGGGGAGAGCCCGTGGATGGAGAGGTAGGGGGATTTGATTAGTTGGGGGGGTGACCAGGTTTGGGTTTGGGAGTCGTAGGTGGATTCGATGTGGTAGTTTACTGGTATTTAGTCAAGTTAGTGGGTTGATGGGGAGTGGTAAGTCGGGATGTGCTGATGGAATGGGATGG